TAATGCACGTGAGTGTTCCCATAGACTTCAGTGATCCCAGTCATATGAGACAGAAATAGTGGTATGAGAACAGCCACAGGATCAGATCATAGTGTAGTAACCATGCCTTCATCCGACATCAATAACTGTTTTAAAAAGTAAAAATGGGAAAAAGTAAAGGAATAGATAATTAATATCACATCTGGTGTGCTAATAACAAAATACATAAAAGTGGGGCTAGGTATAAGGCAACTCATTTCCTCACATGAGAGAATGACCTCCATAACTCAACTGAAGCTCTGCCACTCATGAGTTATGGGTCATTCCTTTTCTGTTGAAAATAAATTTTACAATACCATCATCCGTAGCTATGTATTTTTCCTCTATACATGTAAATTTAAAAATTGCAGAAACATAACCCCTTCTCTTCTTGCATTACATACATAGCCTCCTACCATAACAGTTTTTAAATTAATTGTGTTTTTGTGAAGTGAAATATCCTCTGCTATATATGTATTCCATGACATGATTTTTGATTAAATGAAAAAGCTGAATTTATTCTTGCGCTATTGCTACTGTTAGTAAATTGCTTAATCTGTACTCCCACGTTTATGATACGGGTTGAATCCTTGAATTCAGTCAAACCTTGTGTTAAACTAAGAACCATTTATTACAGCATCAATTTTCCAGTATAAAACTCCTATTTCCAGTAGTTTATAACTCAGCTGTGGACATTTTGTCTGGACTAAAACTTGGCACATGACATGTTGTCAAGCTATTTTTTTACACTTTAAAAAAAAAAGAGACCTTGATTATTCTTTGTTATATGAGAACAATCTTATAAAAGTAGCAAACACTATATTTTTCAGATGCTTCTTCTGCTCTTCTATGTTATTGAAACTGAAGCTTTAAAGGCCACATATCTATAATTCAGGCACAGAGATCTTATAATAGTCAAGCTATTCTGTCTATAAATCTATGAATTCTGCATGAGTAGAACTTTCCAGGGTTTGATTAGTCTTTTCTATATGTAGACCTAAAGTCCAATACTGCAAGGGACAAACCACCCCAGATACCTGCACATTCAACTCCCACCAAACCTGGAATGCTTAGCACAGTGATTGTGAGCTAGAGGTGATACTGCATCCTTTTTAGGAATGACGCACAATATTATCACCATTAAGTGAAACTTACACATGATTTACAAGATACCCAGAGATTTCAGATAGGATTCCAGTGTCAGAATATTTCTGGCCTCTTGTGGTCTTTCCCAGTTCTTTGCAACAAAAGATTTGCTCTATTATTTTTCTGTAGTCAAAAAATGAGTAAAAACTAAGAGCTGGCATTTTATGGTGGCCTAGCAAATTGTCTGTCAAGGATGACTCGGGGTGGGGGGGGTGGAATGCCGCACGCCACTACCCCACACCGCCACTGCCTCCCCGGGGCATGGGGAGGGGAGTGGGGGGGGTGGGGGGGAAGCTTGCATGCAGCCACCTCTAGCCACTAACCCACTCTGCTGCTGCTCTGCATCCAGCTGCATGACATCCCCCCCTCCACATCCAGCCATCTGTCTGTGCGAAGCACTCTGATTGGTTGTTTCTCCAAGAGCGTTACGGACAGACACACAGACAGATGGACTAAGCCTTATAGATACATAGAATACCTTGAGTTTATTGGGCAGAGGGGGCGGGGGAGGTTTCTTGAGTCTAAGTAGGTTGAGTACCACTGGCTTAGCACCTTGAAAAGTCAAGTCCTTGATTTGCATAAAATGGAATTGACACAGAAACAAGAGACCAAGGAAGTTGCTGGCTTATATCAGTGATAGAAATATTGAGAATGACTTAAATAGGATTTATGGTCTGCAGAGTCACTAAGATGCATATTAGACTTCACAGTAGACTTTACTGTAACATGTTAGTCTCTACAGATAAACTGTACATGGGTGAAGGAGCTTAAGTGCATTAAAATACACAAATACAAATCCACTAAAATTCACTAAAAATATAACGTTTATGGGTAGGGACACACCGAATTCATGGTGGAAGTGGGCTGCATGGCAGCTCCTTTAATTTTGAAGGTTCCTCCGCCCCCTTCCCACCAATTGGCAGAGGGGCCTTGCTACTCACTGCTGATTGGCAGGGAGGCGAAAATAGCGGTTTTAAATATGCCGTTCTTGCCTCCCAGCCAGTCAGCAACAAGCAGCAGGGCCCCTTAGGCAATCAGCAATGGGGAGGGGCATGCAGGCAAACCTGTAAGATTAAAGGACCTGCCACGCAGCCCACTTCCTCCATGAATTTGGTAGGTCCCTATCTATGGGGTACCTACTCCCCTTAAGATCCTTTAAGACTCAATGGGTATATCTGCTCTGGTATTTAGGAAATAGAAATCACCAGTCTGGCCTCTGTCAAACTGTATTTCACAGTGTAATAAGTATACTCAAACAGGTAGATGCTGCCTACTCCTCCCTCTCTGGACTATACTCATAGGTGAATAGTCCAGCTTAGACAACTATGTAGAGGCAGTATTTAGCCTAGAGGTGAAAAAAATTATATAGTTGGTGGAGTTTAGTTCCCTATTGCCAACTAACACTGATCTGTTATTTGCTATGTAATTGGTTACTATGTTACGTTATTTTTGTTCCCTGATTGGATGTTTCTATACCCATATGACTTTCAGAACTTTTTCACACATTCAGTTTCTTTCTGAATCTAAGCCTCTGAGTAGATACCCGCAACATTAGCAAAGAACAAGTAACCATTCTGTATTTTTGTCTGAAGACAAATTTGTTCATTCTGCGCATTTGCTTTGTTGATCTTTGCTTATTTCTTGCTTCTCCATTGTTTCCATCATTTACACAATTGTCTTTGCCGCCATGTTCACTAAATTTTTCCATAAATTATTTCCTGCACAAGTATAATATTTTACATAATATCCCCTACTTTTTCACCAGTGTGAAAAGTTCATTTTTTTCCACTATACTAAATACTTTGATTTTGAATTTACTAACTCACTTCATAGTATGATTTTGGGTCTTTGGTAAACCCCACCTCCTTAAATGTTTTCTTGAAATCTTCTTTGGTTTTTGAAGTTATACATGCATTAAAGCCATAATCCAGAACATGGTATTCTAGGCGAGCTTTAACCTGTGCTTTGAACAGTAATACTATTGCTGCTCCTGATTTGTATTTTGTCTCAGTACTGATACAGGCCAGCATTCTGCTTACCCTTGTTACTCAAGCCATATGCTGGGCCAATGGCTTTCAAGGATTTGTCTTCCATAACCCCTAAATCCCTGCCCTGGTCAGTGTGCTGCATGGCTGTTCCATCTAATACATGCTCTATATGTTGTTGCCCCCTTTCATGCCTCCTGTCTTTATTTTATAGTTGCTGCAATAAACTGCATTTTCCATTCTCTTAACCTGTCAAATAAAAGTTCAAAATCTCTCTGCACCTCATTGTCTTGTTCTTCATTAGTCATCACATCTCCACTGTTGGCCTCAGAAACAAACTTTAAGATTTTACATTCCCTTCCTTCAACCAGATCATTTACATGTTGCATCTTGTTGACAATGGTTAACTGAAAAATAAGGCATGTCAATCCCATTATTAAATAAATGTTCACCTTGATAAATTATCAATGAGACTTGTTAATTTCCTTTCTCTCAGTTACTTTTCTATCTATCAAATTCTATTACATTGTGTGAAACTCTCTTTCTCTTTCATATGGCATCAGATATCATCTTTCAAATCTATGAACCACTGTCTGGTATTGTCACTCAATGTGTAGACTCCATCTATCCTGAACTGATTTGCCAGAAGTCTCTAGTACTTGTAGCTCCCATTGACTTCAGTTTGAATTGTTGGTGCTCAGCATGGATGAAAGTTAGGTTGTACACTGTAACTTTCTACTCAAACCAATATTTTTGATGCTTCTGGAATATCTATGGGCCAAATCATCCCTCCCTCAGAGTATGTGACTAAGGAGATGAGTTGGCATGAAATACAGTTTGAAGTACCTCAAGACACTGTGCCTGTGCAAGGCAGAAGCAGGCCTGATTGTTGTGTGAGGAGCAGGGTCACTGGTGGGCCCTGTTACATCTTTTGAAAAAAATGCCATGCAGCCACTCCAGTGTAGTTCTCCTAATCTTTGTTGGATATGCCACTGGCAGGACACCGCTTCCACCTCACCCTGGCACACCTGTCCTGGAACTTCAGTGGTGTCTGTAATCCTACTACCTCTTGTGTGGTCTCAGGAAACCCAGTTTTCTTATGCCTTCTACCCACCCAGAGAAATATGGCATTGGAAAAGGTTCCCTATATCAACTCTCCCCTTCAAATACTTGGGCTGTGGTAGTCATAATTTGGGTCCTCTGCAATTTTTACATCAGTTTGATCTCTGCAGAATTCTCATGCTTTTAGAAAAAAAATTCTCATAAACTCAAATTTATTCTCATTCTCTCATAATCTCATTCTGGAATTCTGCTATCCAAGGTATTTCCTCTTCAAATAGTACAACATTGTTTCAAATTCCGTTGTCCAAGATTACAAAACAGTCTCTAATAGCCTGTAGTATTAGCACAAAAAGCATTTAGTTCTTCTCTCTTAAATCCTCTTTGATTTAGCTTTTGAAGATGTCTCCAGCAGTGTTGATAAACTAGTACAGCCATCTCAGGAGCTAAGAAATCCCTGTCTACATTCTTCACTTAGAAAAATTAGATTCTTGTCTTAGTGTGTAATTATTGTTTTTATTTTCTATTTCAGCTTTTTTCCACCCATACCTTCTGGATAGTGAGTGTCTTACAAATGTGACACAGAGATAATAATAGATCACTCCAAGGATACTATCTATTCCACTAACAATCTAACATACAGCAGTGAATATGATATGACAATAAAGCATTTATCTTGCCCTTACCTAAAGGATGGTGGTATCAAAACAAAGTTAACTGTTGCTCAGTGGACTAACATTGTCTATCTTTCCTGCTTCTGATAGTTACAGATGCTATTTTTTCTGTTCTCAGACAGCAGGATTTCAGGAGATTCTGACTGAAATTGAAATTTTAGCTTTGATTGTGGGATGTTTATGTCATGACCTTGACCACAGGGGAACCAACAATGCCTTCCAAGCCAAGTAAGTTTTCTAATTCTTATTACTTTAATTTGTTTTCCTTCTATACAAGAGCAAAAGGTGACAGGGGATAAAGAATGAAGCATTAATTTCAGGGCTCCTAGGCCAAGGCCAAGTATTTCTATGCTTGCATGTAATGAGGGACTATCCATCTTTATAATTCCCTATTCTTTTTGGTAATTGCTGACTTGCCCTTAGTGTCATGCTGTTGATTTTGGTTACCCTTTGTGAACTGACACCTAGTATAGAAATGTGGCACCAAACAGTGATGCCTCTTCCTGTCAAATTTCTGTCAGTTACAGTCCTGTAAGTGCTAACCATGAGAAGCTTTGCAACTACCCTGATTTCTCCCTCACTGGTATTGGAACCCTGGTGAAAATGTTTCCAATTATATCAGATCAAATTAAATAAGCTAAAACTGAAACCACATGTTCACCAAAGGATGGCATCTATTTAATGTGCATGAAGCCCAGCTTTTATTTTTTTGGACTGTGGAATGGTTGGCACCTGTCTAGAACCACAGTGTAGGCTGCCCAGAACAGATGGGCTGAAAAACCAAATGCATTTCTTTCACATCCACCATGTAAAGCCCTAGACCAGCTCTTCCCAACCTTTTCCTCAGCATGACTCCATTTATGACCCCATTTCCTCAGCATAACTCCATTTCCTGAACATGGCCTCTCACTCCCAACCCGCAGCCCCCTGCTCCCCTCCAACCCTGCCGGAGGGAGTCCCCAGCTGCCAAGGCTATGGGACCAGGGCCAGGGTCTGCAGCCCCACACCTCTCCTCAGCAGTGCCCGAGCCCCAGCTGCCACCCTCAGGAGGTGGTGGTTGCTGTAGCCGGAGCAGAGTGCAGAACCCAGCTCCTCTCCCCTGTCCTGCAGGCAGCACGGCTGGAGCAGAGCCCATGACCCATAAATCCTTGAGGGGGGAGGATGTAGGCTACCTGGTGTGGGCTCAGGGCTCCCCACCTTGCTGCCCTCCCTACAGGGGCCTCTGCAGCTAAGTGGGCAGGAATGTGAGGGCAGGGAGGTTCAGTGTTGCTACTGGGAGTCTCATGCTGGTGGTGCCACCATGGCAAGTTGCCCTCTACCCACCTGGCAGCAGTGACAGCAGCAGCGCAGAGTTGTGCCCCCTGCTGCTGTCAGGTGGGCAGGGGGCACCTTGCCATGGCAGTGTGGGCAGAGTGGGGCTCCCAGCAGTGGCACTGAGCCTCCCTGCCCCACTCTGCTGTGGACACGGGCAGGGTGGTGGAGAGCCCTCAGCCCGCAGTAGGCATCCTGCATCTGCCCTCATCGTGCACACAAATCTATGCCTCCCTCCCTGGGAGAGCACACAGTGGCAGGGAGCTGGCCCTTCTACTGCCCCCCCAGACAAGCCTCACTGTGGGGGTCTCAATCTGCCTTCCCCTGCCCAGACTTACCTAGAGGGAGCTGCAGGAGCTGCTCTCCACGCTGCCTGGCTGCCATGTGCATGTGCGCACACATGCATGTGGCACCCCCTGCCTGATCACCCTCCTCCCATTCCCTGCAGTCCCAAGCAGCCCCTTGCAAGCTAGAATTATGCAACCATGCAAGAGGAACCTGCCATTTCCCACTTTTTTCTCCTTTAAAGGAGAAAATCTGTGATTGTCTTTGCAACCCCATTTTTTAACATTGTGACCCCAAAGGGGGTCATGACCTCAAGGTTGGGAAGTGCTGACCTAGAACTGCTGACTCTGTGTAACACAGATACATGGTTCCTTCCCAACCCATCTGCTAGATATCTTGTGTGCTGGACTAGTGTGAACTATAAATTCATTGGGGAGGTCAACAGGGAATAGGGGAAGCGTTGTTTTCTAAGGCATCCCAGGGAGTGACTAGCAATAGCAGGTGTAAACTAGTTGAGAGTGGATTTAGGTTAGATATTTGAAAGACATTTTTCACAGTAAGGGTGGCCGGGATCTGAAATGGGCTTCTGAGAGAGGTGGTGTTATCACATAGCTTGGAAGTCTTCAAGAGGAGGCTAGATAGTCACCTGGCTGGGGTCACCTGACCTTGGTCCTCTTTCTTGCCAGGGGCAGGGGGTCGGACACGATGATCCATTGTGGTCCCTTCTGACTCTACAATCTATGAATCTGTGAGCATTTGACATAACGTAAGGTGTATATGCTCTCAAGGGAGATGGGCTGGCTGGTTGTCGAACATCCCACAGAGCTGTTAGCTGGGCTTACTCCATTTCCTGAACATGGCCTCGCATTCCCAACCCGCAGCCCCGTCCCCCTCTAACCCTGACAGAGGGAGTCCCCAGCTGCCAAGGCTTTGGGACCAGGGCCAGGGTCTGCAGCCCCCCACCTCTCCTCAGCAGCCCCCAAGCCCCGACTGCCATATAAATTCTTATATAAGCTAGGTGGAATCTCGCAGTGGCCCTCCAGACCCGAGTGATACAAATGTATCAGAGCAGCTGCAATTTTAATATTCTTTCATTCAGAGTTAAAGTTGGATCAGTTTTGCTGCATTTGTATTGCTTCTGGCTTGTGCACACATTACTTAAAACATAACAGCTGCTGTGCCCCTCCCCCCACCAAATAAGCAGCTCCCCTTTTGAAACAGCTCCAAGTGTACATGTCCACACCCTATGTTAGCTTATTCTTCCCTATTTTTGTGCAAAAGAGGAGGATATTTGCCAGAATGTGTGCTGTTTGCAGACTGCTGTTTCTGTGGGCAAAATGCCTTGGTGAACTCCTCTAATTGATATCTGGCTGTTCCTTAAACTGCAGTCTCCTTAGCTCTTGGTGTTCCTGCAGTCTCAATGAAATGCTGACATTATCTGGATCCTTGCTTGCCATTACAAGGGAAATGAATTGCAGTTCTGAAAAACAGAACTGCTGGTGCAAAGGTTACAAAGCATCACCAGTTGCTTTCCGCAGCTGGAGTCTCAAAGAGAAGCAGAAAAGATGGGAAATTGTGTAAGACAACTGGAAAAGCTGTACCAATTGATGTTTGTGTTCCTAATTTATAAAAATGGATCTTGTGTACAAATTAAATTCTTACAGGTTTGGGCTCTGATTAAACTAATCGCCATTTAATTCTGTTTTGGGGACTCTGAAGCAGAGGGTTTCAGCATTAGAATGCTATCTTCTGCAGTTGTTTGACAACTGCATACAAAGAGGAGGCTGTCTTTTTATAACATCATAAAGAAATAGTTGAAGACATTTAACAAAAGACATGGTGTGACACATATAAAATATCCCTGAATATAGAAGTTGTAACTTTCATAACACTAACTGTGATTTATTCCTCCAACCTAACTTATAAAGTTAAGCATCACATTTTCCTATTTTATCTTTAGTGTTCAAGACTAGTGTTTTGTGCAATGAAAGATCAAGAGGCATATGATAGAAGCAGCATCACAGTTCTCTGAAATTGCTCTGTTAATACACCTCAACACTCTTTTCTCTAGGGATGATGTTTTCCAGTCATCCCCCTCTCTAATACAGCTGCCCCTGATGATTAAATATCAGTATGGTACAGCTTTGTAGTATATACTCCTAGGAGACTCCTTCTATTCGTTTCTAGCATAATCTCTTATACTCATTTCTTTGGAAAGAAAACCCATCTTGTCGCTTTAGGCTGGGTCCCAGAAGTGAAATAGTGGTGAACATTAATCTCCCCTGACAGTCCAATCCTATTCCTTTCCACCTCCCAACAATTTTCAATTTCATAATTACATTTCATAGTTTTTCCTCCTTTAAAGTTTAAACTTAGAATTTTTAAGCCCCATACCATATATATTTTGTGGCTGATCTTTTTTTAAACAAACAGCATAGCTGGAAAATATATTCTAAGGATTATTTTAGACTTTCCTTTTCTATCTTCAGGTTCGGCTTCTATTTCCTTATTCACCTTAGCATTTTTTAATTTACATGGAAGTTACCTGTAAGAAGCTGTAAGGACTACTCTTACAGCTTTTCCACAGCAGAGTTTTTCAGATACCTAGTAGATATCACTTTTGTTCTATATACTGAGGATTGGAGCTGTGCAGAAGTACAGGAATTGACTGAAAGCCCCAAGGCACTTACAGTTCATAGTGTGTGTGTGTGTGTGTGTGTGCGTGTGCGCACTAGATATGCACACATATATTTGTGTGATATACCATATATATAGATGTGTGATTGCTTATTTAGAAGTATATATAAACTATGAAACACAGTGTGACTTGAGATGTACCTAATTTTTTTTTTAACTATAGACATTGAGAAGGTACCAAAAGTGTTGTTTCTAGATTCCTTTGGTTCAAAGGGGCCTGTCCTCCTAAATCATTTAGATGTCTTTGAATATTCCCACCAAAAATTTAATGTTGCTCAAAAGGAATCATCAGTTGGTCAGAGTAAATGTATCAGGCACCAGAATCTGAAAGCCTGGCCGTAGCTGTAAATTAATATAGTGAATGTGAAATTCCACTTACATTTCAGAACACTGTATCTGAGAATGGGTGGATGTCCTGGTAACTAAATCTCTTAAATTAAGAAGAAAAAAATCCCATTAAATCAAGCGGGGGACGGGGGACACTATGAACAATTTTTGTAATATTTATTTGTGTTTTTTACTGATTGCTGATTGTTAATTCCATGTGTTGCCTCTCAGGAGTGGATCAGCTTTGGCTCAGCTTTATGGAACCTCTGCTACCTTGGAACACCATCATTTTAATCATGCTGTCATGATTCTTCAAAGTGAGGTAAAAAGCAGCTGTTTTATTGTTGTATGCTTGGTGGGCTGTTTCACCAGCCAGGGAATGGAAATAAACACCACGCACAAACCCAGCTGGGTGGCACACAGGGATTATATGGCTACTGGTGCATGGGGAGCCCAACATCGAGCTGCTGCAGCCCAATACCAGGCTCCCCATACACCGAGACCTGTCAAAACCCCACGTGTGGTCCAGCTGGGTTTGGACGTGATGTGTATCTCCATTCAGCTGGGCAGCACATGGGGTTTGACAGGCCACTCATTCAACTTAAGGCGCAGTAGAAATGTGGAATAACTGTGGTCACCCATAAAATCAGTGAATCTGAAAAATATTTCTTCCTTGTGATCCACCAGAATCTCCTTGGACAAACCATTGCTTTATCCGGTGCGTATCCAACTACTGTCTCTCCTTGCACATTTCTAACTCAGGCAATTCATCTTGCTAGGATTCTAATCTTTATATACTGTATTACTACTTCTTTGATAAAAAAATGTAGAAGTAAGACTAAATGCTTTCAAGCTAGAATAGGTGCAGATCCAGAATCTCTGCTAGCACAATCTGGAGTCAAACAAGTTATGCCAGTTTGCCACTGAAGTCAAACAGCTTAAACCAGTTTGCATCACCGAAGGACCTGGCCTGTTCTCTCTAGTACATTGTAATTACACTCAATGGAATACACTGGTATTTAACACAACAGTCTGCAATTGTTATCGTCAGGAAAACTTCCATATTTGATTATTTTGTTAGCTTCCTATTCGTGCCATAAAAGGTGTCTATATTTTGCTCTAGACAAAAGGTGTCTATATTTGTCTATATTTTGCTCAAAGGTGTCTAGGCACCTTTGAGAGAGTCTTGCACACTGTGGTAACATTTAGTTTTTCACAGGATGTATTAAGTCAACAAGGCACTAGAATCCTGAAGACAGCAGGAAAATCCTCCTCCTTAGCTATTTGTAAGGCAGTATTTCAGATATGCTAGTGCATTAATCTATACTCTGAATAGCTGCTGGTTTTTAATATACACTGGCATGTTTTTTTCTGGCTACACTGAACTTAAATTGTAGGTATAATTAACCTGCTAGATTCCCCCAGCTTTCCCAATGACTGAGTGAAAAAAAATCTTTTTTTGAGGATAAGGTCACTCAGGGAAGGAAACATGTCCTTTTTATGTATGGAAAACTCTTTGTTTTCCTTACTGTAATTTTCTTCTTCCTGAGCGCTAGATGGCAGTGCATATTGGATTTGAACATTAGACTGCTACAAGCTACCAAAATTACATTTGGTTTGATACAACCATTGTTATTTCGAAGGATAACAAAGCAGTATGTGAGTGCTGTGTTATGTATATGAATGTAAGCACACGTGACTGATGTTCTACAGTTCAGTCTTTAGCTTAAAGTTCAACTTAAATGAATGGCAGTATATTCTTTCAGTTTGTTTTCTCCCCTGGATTTATGGAGAAACGAATGGCTAATCTGTTCACCCTAATTTGTTAGATCATGATCTGTAAAATTGTTCCTTCTACGTTCCTTATTTAAAACATCAATATTTAAATATTTTGTTTCCTTTCATTATGGCTATAAAACATTTTCCAGGGTCTTACTCCTTTAGATTCCTTCAGAAGTACTCTACTGAGCCCACCCCTGTTGTTAAGCTGGCTCACATTCCATGTGCTTTGCTACCTCGGTCTGTGTGAGAAAAATCTGTACATACAGCAAGACAGTGGAATAATGGTCGGGGTGAGCAGAAAGACTATTTTGAATGAAAAATTGATTTAGTGCCTTTGACTGCTCTAGCAGCAGCTTGTGGGCAGCAGCACAGATAAATCTGTTAAGAACACAGCTCAAAAGCTGCAAAACATAATTCCAAAAACATTTGGTATAGGGAAAGATTGAGCTGTATCCATAGTTTTTCTCCATAAACTGAATCAGTGCAGAGTCAAACTAAAGAATACATCTTTTCACAAGAGGCTATAATTTTGGTACTGCTTAGAGAAACACAGCCCAGATTCTTGATTACAGTGGTTAACATTTCCAGTCTGAATATAACCTTAACAGCAATAACTTTATTTTGTCTTGGTTTCCCATAGTCCAGAAAAAAAATCGGATGTTACAAAGTAGCAGAATGCAGTTAGGAAACCTTTTAAAAACCTATATTGATTGTTAGCCCTTTACCTTCTCTATCTCTTTCATTACAGGGTCACAACATCTTTGCTAACTTGTCCTCCAAGGACTATAGTGACCTTATGCAGCTTCTGAAGCAGTCAATACTGGCAACAGACCTCACTCTGTATTTTGAGTAAGTATTGGCATTTTTGTATTTGACAAATGAAAATTCGAAGAATGTTCTCTAATGACCTATTAAACACCAGTAGCGATATATGATATGAGAAATTAGTGTTTAATTGTGGTTGGAGAGATTTAGTCTAATGCTTATATATTAGACTAATGGGAGTATCTTGTGTCCAGATAAGTTTTATTTTAATGTTTAATTTGTCTGTGTTAACAAAACCCAAGAGAAGTCTTAGCCTCAAACTTTGAAGCTGTTGCAGAAAGGAGTCACACTCCAATCCTGTATTGTGTGAAGCTTACATGTGTGAAGAGCACACAACCATTTTTTGGGCTTTTTAGGAAATACAAAGTAACTTTACTTTTTTAACCTTTTCTGAACTGCTAGTCCAGTTCAGAGTGAGTTTTTTTTCTTGTGCTAAGGAAGAGCTGTACTTAGTTGCACAGGAAGGTGCTTAGGTAGCAAACTGTGGTAGGTCCTTTTGAAGTCAAGTTATACCGCTTTTCACCAGAGTGCCCCATTTTGCAAAACTGAGAGGCAAAAGACATTACTAGATGTCTTCTTCAAATTCTGTTCTTTCCTCTTCCTTGTTTTTACATCATGCTAGTGATCAAGATCATTATAGTGATCAAGATAATACCATTTCCTTTCGTTTTCTTGCAAGTTTAGTAAGTTCCACCAGGAGAGTCAAACTAAGTCAATGTCTTGGACATGGCGTTGTATGTATGATAATTCGCAGTGCAGTGATGTTACATTTCCTGCACATCACACTTCCAACAAAGTGTGTCAATCAAAATCTTACTTGCTAGCGCCCACATGGATAATTCACTGGGGGACGTGTTCTGGGGCTGTGTGTACATAGCAAACTCACACTCCCTGGTATCAGGGTCTTCAGATACATTACATTGCTTGAGATGGGCTATTTCCTAAACCAGAAACTGTGTAAATGAGCTACTTAGCTCTGCTGAGTAGCAATTGCCAGTTAGCCCAAGCAAATTACCTTGAGAATGAAGATACTGCTACACTGCTTCAGTTTAAAAGTGGTCCCTTAAACTTAAAGCAGCACAGTGGGTTTGTGGGTCACGCACTATGGTAAGTTTATGGTACAGAGATTGAAGTGCAGTTGTAGCTTACTGTCATAAGCATGACAAGGCTCCATCCTAAGGAATTTTTCTGTATTAGGAAATAACTTGTCTATTAGCATCTTCCTTGCACTCTACTCATTGATTTTTGAGCCTGTAAGCAAGGAGATATGGATTATTTCTCCTCAGTCATGAGCACTGACGGCTTGATGCCAAACCAAGATTCTAACAAACCCTGGGCAAATGTTTAGCTGCTATACAATGTACATCACTCCCTTTCTTTTTTAAAGATTTGCCAAATCACTAGGTATTATTTAAAATGGTGCAAAGTTTGCTCTGACTACTTCTTCCATTATTTCTGTTAAGAGCTCACTCTCTGTCAATATTTTCTTTATCTCAGAGAAAGAATATTCCTTCCTTTTTTCCCCCATTTAGCCTATTATGAGAGAGAGCTTGATCAATAAATTCAGGCATCTGCCTCTAAAGCTGCATTCTAAAAAAAATTAGTGTTGCTAAAAATCATTTCTAAAAATAACTTTATCCAAATATTCTTTTTGCAAATTTGCAGTAGGCTTCAGAAAGGAACTTCATAGTTTTTTATCTCACTCTTTCTGGGCCTTCTGGCTTTTGAAGCTGTCTGCGAAGACTGCTTATGATTTTAAGGGGTAACGACAGTGGAAACCGGCAGTACCGAGGGCAGTGATATTTTCAGGCGCACACAGTGCTCAGTATTGCTCTTGATGTCCTAACACAAGTGTCTTGAATTTAAAAAAATAGTTCATACTATTGGGAAGGGGGTAGGCTGGTAGGCAGAAGGCTAAAATGATTTGAGATAGATCCTGAACAGACTCCAGCAATGGAGATCCTGTAGAGAGATTTCTTCCTCAGTAAACATGGCCAGGAGAGGGCAGACAATAGCTGCTTTCTCTTTGGGATGAACCCCCACCAGGACAGTAACCTTTTACACCTTCCTACACCAAAAGGGGTGTCTCAGGGTCAAACTGTCTTTTGGGATTATATCAGCAATACTCATGTCAAATAACATAAAGACTTTTGAGCAAGTACATGCTTACTTCATTGACATTTTTTTTCAGTTTTCTGCCTCTTACATGCCTTTGGATTTAAAAAACCAAGCAAACAAAAACAGCATTCCTGAATTTCCTGTGTACTAAGAGTGATATTTATAAAGTCCATCTATGAATCAGAGATTTGGTTTGTGCTGGAATAAAAAATAGCATGTGGATAAAAACCCTTAGAACCTCATCACATTTTTGCATATTTGTAGAACTTTAACTAATCAACAAATAAAATGATGACCTGGAAGTGAAAAATCAGATCTGGGCTGTATTAGATATGTGGGTATTTGGGTAGTAAATTATTGTGATATTTTAATAGATAATTTTAACACATCAGGCCATGGAAAAATCACTTAGAAGATGCAAGTTTTCATAGAATGCTTAACCTCTTCTCCCCCGAATGCATAAACATCATGTTTCATCTCTTATAATTTCACTGAATTTAGATTCACTGAAGTGAGGTCTTGATTCATTGAAGTATATACACTTATTATATAAAGCCAGCTCTCTGAGGATAAAAACAGCATTGAATACTGAAGAACAACATTTAAATGGACATGAACATTAATTTATTTTTGCACTCTTGGATGTCATGTGTGTAGCTTTATTTACCCAAGTAACTAAACTAGTCTTCCTAGTTGAAACCATGTTTAAGCATCCACTAAGGCAGCATTTTCAACTATTTTCATATACAAGGCTGATTTTTCCAGACAAAAACCTCTGTGGGGATTTAGTCTGTTTCTCCAGTCACTCCAGTGGATCTTAAAGTGGCTCTGTCATTTAGAAGTGCATGGCTCAGCAAAATGCCTCCACCACCTACATTTAAGTTAATACTTAGAGATTGCTCTGTTCCGTATTTCTGATGCCACACAATTCAGGGTGGAAATAAGAGGTCACATTTTCTTCTGAACTCTCAATATGTAATTGTTGTTGTCTTGATAATATACGCATTGCCTAGGAGGAAAATGAAAGAATTATTTTCCTCCAATAACATTTTTTTCTGCTAAGACTTTTTTCAATAAAATGTGAATTAAAAATAAGCAAAATGTATTTTTTTAAAGGCCATCTCTAGTGGTGCAAATACAATGTAATAGCTGTAGTTGTCGAGGACCAGCTCAGGATTAGGCTGATTTAATGTTTATGTGCCAGCTCCTTGAGGCCATTAAAATTTTCATTATTGCAGTATTTATTCCTACAGGAGCTGTTATACCATCATGCCATGAATTTGTATGAGAGAAATGAATTTTGTTTTCTGCATGTGTGACTTTGCATTGTGTTAGCAACTTTTGTAGTGTGCAACCACTTTATATCATGTATCATAGAACATGGGCATAGCATCATCCTATCAGCTGCTTCAATAATATGGTAGGAACCTTTCCATTAAAATAAATGGAAAACTGTGAATGACAAATTCTGTACTTTGCAACAATTTCCTGAGATAGCTTTGCTTTACTGAGGTCCAGCCAGCCAAAACAGGTAATTATTTCTACTTAATTCTGCTCTTATTTTAGACATGTATTAATTAAAAATCTCCCATTATGCATCAAAATTCTAATTGCCACACTGAATTCTATAATGGAGGAACATTTAAGCAGGGGTGACTTTCAGGCACACTAGAGTTTACCTCATTTCAACTGGATTTGTATATGCCCTGTTTTCAGTTTTATTTATGTGCCCAACAAAGTATATGAAATGTTAACTAATTATCAAGTCTAGATTATATTTTCAAATGAACATATTGATGCATTCATTTCGGTGTAAAACCAATGCAAAAGTGCATGTATTTTGAGGGCGGATGAAGTGATTTCTGTCTATAATTTTCGTTCAGGTAGACCGTTGCTTTGCAAACTGTAGCAACCTATCAGACACCTTAGCTAGGGACAGACATTACACATAAACCAGTTTAAGTGATCACAAACTGGTTTAAACCTGTAACAGGACAGATGTTCAGTGCACATAAACCAGTTTGAAAATGATTGAAACCTGTTTGAGATAAACCTGATTGAATGTAGTATCAGACTTAACTGATTTGAGTCAAACTGGTTTAATACAATGTCTGTCCCAGACCCCTTGCTGGTTTAAGTTAAACCAGACTCCCCCAGCATCCCAACATGCTCTCTGGGCTGGGTGGGGTTCTCTGCTCCACAGCAGAGCTGGTTTCTCCCCTCTGTTCCCTGGCTGGAGCTCTGGCAGAGACTATAGGCATTTGCCTGGCTTCCCCCTTCTCCCCTTGCCACTCCCTGCTAAGCAGGGGTCTTCTCTGCCTTATGCAGGCACCTCTCAGCATTAGCTAGCAGACCACATGCTGGCTACGGTCAGTGCTGTGGCAGATGGGACAAAGGTGAATCAACAGGTAACTGGGAATGTCCCTCTGTTGTTTTCTTAATGGGGTGATAAACACTGTGTTATCAATTCCCTGCTGGGCTGGTCAGAAGGTTGGTGTGGGGTGGGGAGGGTGGAGTTGTGACAGGGGCAACCTTTCATGCCTCCCATCCGCCTCCTGTCTATGGGCCAGCACCAGTCCGCCTCCCGTCTATGGGCCAGCCACCTACCTCACTTGTCTGCCATACCTTGATGTAATAGTATTAGGATGTTAATCAGGCAGGAGGCTGCCGATTATGAACCCCAATGTTTAGTCAGGACCCTGAGCTTCTTTGCTCTGTGGGTGTCCCTTGTAGTGGTCCCTGGGGACCTTTTGACCCCTCTCTGGGTCCTGGCCCCTGCATGGACCAGTCAGGTACCTCATGTCAGGTCTAAGCTGCAGGACTGCATAGAGGGTCCCCCATTCCCAGCTCAGGTGCTTTGCAAAGCATGCCTGTCCCCACGGGCCCACTCACCTAAGCAGGCTCAGGTGCTTCAAGAGGCTTAGCTGGCCTTCCCTGCATTCTATAACCTACCCAAAGGTGAGGGGCTGAGGATAAGGCGCCCTGACCTACCTTACCGGGGGGGTGATCACTCCTGGCATTTACATGGGGACTGCCATGCCACCAGCAGCCCCACCAGGCCTTCCTGCTCTGGCAGGGTGCAATTTTAGGTCATGCCCAGGACCAATGAGACCTCCAAGCCATCCCCAAAGGCTGACCCTTACCTTCAAGGTGTTCCTGGCAGAGCTCAGCAGGGAGGTGTTTCTCCTCTGCTGGCTGATCACGAACTGCCCTCAGCTCGAGGGCAGCCATTTTAAGGCCCAGCTCCCTATCGGGCACCTGCCCCTCCCTGGCCCAGTCCTTAAAGTGGCAGGCACTACCAGTGCCACAGGAGGCAACCCCTCCCTAATCAGAGCATCCTGCCAGGCCTGGCCACGCCCCCTTTGGCTCAGTTCTGTGGAAGGGAAGAGAGGGCTGTTCTAGCACCCACCCCCCAAGCTTCTAGCCTGAGCCACTGCAGGCATGTACCTTCTTTTCTGGGATGCCTGTGCATTTACAAACTGATTCAGCCTAGCCAGGTTAGACTAACCTGCAAAGATTGAATCAATTCAGGCTTAGGCTTTTTCAATGTCTGTCCCTAGCCCCTAAGTTTTGCCATGCTAGAAATCAAACTACCGTTATCTGATAGAGTCAACATAAACTAGTACAGCATAAGGCCCTGGATAGTTGCTCAGGATTCTTGGATTCAGTTCCCACCTCAGACACTAATCTGTTGTGCAATTTTGAGTGAGTCACTTCCGTGTTGTTCTGTTCCCACTCCTATTCCAGATCCTTTTTTACATTCTTTGGAAGAAGGTCTATTCCACACTATGTTTGTACTGTACTTAACATCTGGGACACCTATACACATGCTTCGACAGAGGAAGGTGTTTTAATTAAAGCAGCTCTCAGGAGGCAATCTAATTAAACCTCCCTCAGCGTCTCATGTATTCAGCGACCTGTGTTCCAAGATGGCAGCAGGGGTGTTTTAACTAAAGCTCATTTGACGTGCTTTAGTTAAAGCACCCCCCCTGCCATTTTGAAATGCGGGGATGCTGAATACATGAGAGACTACAGCATGCTAGAACATTCTGATTAGAATTATTAATCAAGTCTGCACCAACATGTTCTAATCAGAACACGTCAGCACATGTAAAAGTGCCCCTAGCAACTCCAGTTTCAACTGGGTTCTTTGGACATTAGTATCTGACAAATAATAATGATAGATTTTCATAAGTAAAGATTTTGATACTGAAGAGGTTCTGGAGCAATCCTCATCATGCATAAAATATGAAAAATTGTAAATCAGTGTGGAGATAAACCATGAATATTGACAACAAAAGCCAAACAGTCTATCCTTCATCCGATCTTTCTTTAACTCACGTTATCTAGTCACCCTAAACCAGGGGCGGGCAATTATTTTGGGCGGAGGGCCGCTTACCCAGTTTTTTCAGGCTGTCGAGGGCCACATGGGTAGCCCTGCCCCTTGACAGGTGCCCCTCCCCTTGGTCACCATCTTGGGACCAATGTCTCAGGGCCAGCACTGGTGGGCCCAAAGTGGGGCACAGGCTGGCAGGGGTCTGTGGAGCTGTGCTGGGCTGCACCAGCAAGGAGAGGGGGGAGCTTCTTCAGTGTGTGCTTCTGCTGGCTCCCTGCCCACTCACTCCCAGTGACCCCCCCAGCCCTGCAGAACAGGCAGGGGGCAGCACACAGCCCCAACCCCCTGCTTACCGGCAGGGAAGAAGCTGGTGCTGAGCACGGGGAAAAGCAGCCCCGCGCCTTCCCCCTGGCTGGTGCTCCCTGCGGCAGGTGCTTGCAGCCCATGCAGGGCTGTCTGGAGCAGGCACAGGCAGCCCCACGCGGACTGCAAGCGGCTGCAGGGCGGGGCACCGGGCACTGAGCAGGTGAGGGGCCACTTTTCCCCATGCTCAACACCACCTTGTAACCTGGACCTGCTGCCAGCCTGGGCCCTGCGCTGACTCCGGGCTCACCCGTCGGAGCTGTGCATGGCAGCAGCAGCTGTGGCCCCCAAATTGCTGCACCGGGCACTGTTGACTGCTGCTGGAGCTCATGCACTGGGCAGCACAGAGGCAGCGGAGGCAAGCACTCCCCTGCACAGCAAGCAGGGGGGCTGCAGCTGCTGTCGCCACAAACAGCCCCGACGGGGGAGCCCGGGGCCAC